ACGCAAGCCTGTTCGCGTAAGCCATGTATGATCTAATGTTTGGGCACGAAGTTTGGTGACAGAAAATATTAAATTGCAAATTAATCGAATTTCCAGGAGGAGACTTACCACAGACACCTTGCCTGCTCACAATTAATAATCCTCTCCTCGTTAACACTTTCTCAACGTTGCATTGCAATTCCTTCCTTCTAGTCCCACGTCCCCTGCTTTTTTCTCTTCTTAGGCCAGCGAGATTGACACATTTACCACCAGTGAGAGTTGAGAGAGACTGAAGCTGATGTGATCGCTTAATGGTCTATCACACAGTAATTCTCTTCTACCACTGCTTCCTCTCTCAATGTGCTAACCTTCCTCAAACGTAATAACAGACAGCTCAAATGCAAAAAAATAGAAAAAATCTCTAGCATTGTAGCCAGAATACAAGATTTATGGGTCCTTGATACCGAAAAATCGACTGATTGCAAAAGACTACCCAGGCGAATGGACGTTTGCCTGGGTACAATACTAGAGCTTAAACCACTCAGTGATTTTCTCCAAAATTGAAATTCCCCGATCAATTTAAACAAACTCCAGACTTTGGGAATGTCAATTGGACATTCTAATTTTTGAGGGTACTTTTACATGAAGCCTTAAAATAATTTTCAAAAGCTTCTCAAAAATGGCTGTTATTGTTTTGATTAAACTATGGTCACGGAAAGCGTAAAGGACACTTTAAAAAATGATGCCGTTCTCATGCTCGTTAAAATCCCAAATTTTTTGAAAATTGCAACAGTGCAATTTTCGGAACCTTTTTACCATTACACTAATATTTTAAAAAAACATTTCTTAAAAATCTGTTTCTTAATGACAGATCATGAAATAAGTCGGAAAATATCTCGAAAATATGATTAGTTTTTGCGTAATTATGCGCTAAATAACGGCAACAACAAAATATTTGTAACTTTTCAATAATCAAAAATTAACAGAATTGAACGAAAATCAAAATTTTAAAGCGCACTTTGTTCAATCACAGAAGAAAAATCCAAAAATGTGAGCATTTTTTTAGAATATTTTAAAAATGTTAAAGCTTCATGAAATATACCCCCAAAAATCAAAATACCCGTTTTAAATTTCCAGGGCTTCTGGTTCGGCCGGACTGAGAACGGTCAGGAGAGGGGTTTTTGTAGTAAACCAATTGTTTGGTATTAAGGGCCTACAAAACGAGAATTCTGACTTCACGTTTCAGAAGAAATGTACTGTATATAAGAACAGGATGTGCTCATTTTTGTGGGTATCAGAGACTCACAAACTTCGTTTTTCTGCGGAAAAATCGCCTTTTTTTGCTGCAGCGTTTCAAGAGTTTCTCTTTACTACGAAAGTAGTATGCTAGAAAGTAAAAATTCTTAGCATTAATAATTGAGACGAAGAAAAGCAAGTCCGAAAATAGTAGAAGAGATGTTAATGAAAACCCAACTTTTACCTTATTTATAAGTGCATTGTCCACAATACGACTGAAATTTTAATGGAAAAGTATCTAAGTCCGTGAATTTTTTCTTACCTGTACATGGAAGAACTTTGCAGTGATCGGAAAAATATATAAAAAAATATTTTAAGCTTCTGAGGAAGTTCGGATATGAAAGTATGACAATTTTTATCTCGTCATCAAATTAGTGATTCAGAAAAAAATCATGTTTCAATCAAATATACTGTCAATTCTAACCGATTCATAAATATACCAACTTTTCTGACGATATATACACACTCACACTTCTGATTACTATGAGAAATTCTGTATTATAAAGTGTGTACCATTTCGTCTGAGTTCACGTAGTTATTGATGTAGAGGAAGTTGGTCCACCAATTCTTTTCACATGCTCTTCTCAAAGGATCATATTGAGAGTCCCATAGAGGACCTGTTCCAGCGTAGCCCAGTAGGGTCACCGACATAAGCACGAGGATTGCCATGGCTGGCGTAAGCCTGTGAAACGATAATAAATCATTAAAGTGGAATGAGTTGTGGAAAGGAAAAATAATAATCAAAAGGAAGGAATATACAAAAGAAAATGCTACTAACCAAAGATTGATCCCAAGAAAAAATATTCTATCTTGATTTGTGTAAAACCGCAAAACCTCTTTTGACACGTACTTATTTCTTGCAGTGTTAGTTTTAACCTGTTATTATGTGTGTGAAATATTATTTGAAAATGTTTCATCTAGCTGTCATTTGCATACTAACTATAGTTATTCCATATTAATTTTCCATACTGACAGTCACAAAAGGAACACATATATTAAGACTCATTTCTTTAGCTGTGATCGGAATAAAATGATACTATTATAATCATTAAAAAGAAACAATGGCAAATCAATGTATGAAACTTGAAGTGGGATTAACATGAAAATCAAATACAACTGTAAACTTACTGTTAAATAGTCTGAATACTTTTGAAGATATTTATATTTACTTTATCACTAACAAAATGTACAATTTATCATTATATTTTAAACCTTTTTTTTGGACGCAAGAATCGCTTACTGAAAATGAAATGTATTACGAAAAATATGAGTAATCTACTTGTACTATATATCGATTTTTTCTTGTCCAAGTAGTTTACTGGCTTCGTGGCCCCACGGTCGAGATTGTAATGTGTAATTCCAACGCATTTGCAAGTCGCATGTAGGTGTTCTTTGTGAAGCAAAGTAGTACCTTCCACGAAAACTAAAAACAAATGTGGGAAAGAACCCTTCTAGAAGATTTGCATCGGCATGTTTTTTTTTGTTTTTTTTTGTCAGTTTACCAACCTGACGTATCGATGGACGTAGAACTTGGCGACGTCGAAGCGGTTGGTCCGCTCCACTTCCTTGAGGAAGAGGAAGCTCAACAGTAGACCGCTCATCACGAAGAAAGAGTCGACAGACAAGGAGCCGTTTGTGATAACCAGCCGCTTGAACGACTCGATAAACTAGAACAGAAATATTTGGAATCAGCCAAATACGCCTTGATATCATGTACACTGAAATATATTGCGTGTTTAGTTTACTTGGATACTTGGTAGTGAAGTTTATTTAGATACGAATGTGTCGTTCAAGAATCACTGGATAAAGGACGACTTCGTAGTAGAGAAAATTACAGAATCTTCATTTTTAACTAATGAAAATGCTTTTTCTCGCTTTAAAGTGTTATCGTTTTTGATTTACTAATCAAAGTTAATTTACGATTTCATCAAGACATATTGTATAGTTCGGAAAAGTTAGAGCAATAATTTTGTTTTTTATATACCTATTTCTTGATGAATGGATATGTTATTGTACGTCTGATATATTTGTATTTATTTTGTTATCAGTTTACTCGGCAGTGAATATAATAATAATAATAATAATATTAATAATAATAATAATAATTCAAAGAACAAAGTAAGGAGACGAACAATGTATATGTTAAAGAATAAATCACACTTGGTACGACCCTATCCCCTGACGTAAATCGACCTGGTATAAGTTGTTTGGGTTCGTCACAAATGGATGTGTGATAAAGAAAAAAAATTGCAAAGATACTTACATCTTTTGCAAACAACAAGATATTCACAGTTGGCATCAGTGCAAACATTGCGTAAACATGAGCAACTATCACCCAACACATACTGATGGTTCGGATACCGTTTAGGCACGTCAACTGGTTTGCTCCATTTGTCACAGCGATGAGTTTGGACCAGTTGCTGTAGATGGAAAAGGTCAGAAATAAGGGACGCCGCTGATCTGCAACATCAGAGGAAAGTAGACGTTGACTAATTTATTTGCAATTAAAGTGCAAATGCAAACATTTTCCCAAGAGATAATAACTTTCAAGTATGGATACTTTGGAATAGATTTTTATGTAATTGAATCTCAGTGTAATTATGTTTTCTAATTCATAATATCTGCAATGGTACATAAATATGCTAAGTAATTAGCTTATAGGTTCATCTTTTGAATGTAATTTGATTATAAAAGTAGTGATCATGGTGTTAGCACAAAGAACAACGTTGATTAGTATTACACAAGTTAAAATATTTACTTTTTCACTTTCTATTTATGTTCTATCTTCTTAACTAATATGGTAGTAGGAAGCAAGTGCATCAAAAATGTGAAAAGAGGCAACTTTACATATTATGTGGGAAATAAATACGTAGGTGAATTATTTCACGTAAGAAAAAAAAATCAACTTCTAAAGTTTTCACATTGAAATTATATGTACCTTATTTTCCAGCTAATTATTTTAGAGAAAGATACAAGTCACATCTACGAGTCTTTTTTGAGGTATCCATGTTTGACGTATTCGTCAATTATGACGTCACATCGGATACACATGACCGGTTGCGGTTCTTCGGAGGAGGGAAAGGAGGAACGGTCCCCATACTTATTTTCTTCGTCTGAATGCAATTACTACATTAAATATTTGCTTTGATGTCGGGCGAAAAATGTACAATTTTTTAATTAATAACTACGAGGAAATTTATTTTGATCGCGTTTTTGTAACATACGTGCGCATTTAAACTTTATGAAAACGATTGCAAACAACGGTAATCGCTCTGAAGATAAACTCTGCCTTTCATCCTCTCGTTTGTTAACCTCGCCTATCCCTCAGCGCTTCTGCGGCGAGAAGAGAAAACAGTTTTTAATGGAATCATGTGGTAGAAGGGGAGAATCTCCTCCTTTAACTTGATATCTATTGTTATATATGATGCCTATTGTTTATAACGAGAAGAACACTTCATGGGCGGTGAGTTATGTAACATTCTGGTAGGCGAGGCAGATCAGATCGATTTGAATTTGAAGAACTTTATACAGTTGACTTCTTTCTCTCCCTTCGGAAACACGCACAAGTCGCCTTTACTGCTGACTACTCTTACCTTGCTGTTCAGTGAGAACGTCGTAGACAGTGCTCGCCGCCGCGCAAGCTATGAACACAGCGAGCAGGCAGCTGCAACAAATAAATATTGCTGATCGTGTCAGAACTATAATTATTACACTTCTATTGTGAAAATATTATTTTCCATTACCCTAGCCCAAAATGTAAATATTATTCTTAGACGGAAATTATATACAGTGACACACATTGTATGCGCTCAGTAATGGTTCCCGCGTGTATTAATCGTCGCTTTATCAAGGATGTGAAGTTAAAATGTGTTCTCCTTAAAATATTTTAACCACAAAATTCAACTCAAACAAGATGTCCAGGATTACTCGTCTTTTCTGGCTAGTTTCAAACTCATTTTCATATTCGCGACTCTCGCTTTCCGTCTTCAAACGCTCACAGGCAAACTACACTGAGATGAACTTTCTCCTGCAGAAATTTAGAGTATGGCGGTGAGACGTAGTTCACACACTTCTTCACATCAGCTTCGCACACATCGTGAGCCCTCGACAAATTCCCTCAGAGGAAAGGCAGAGGTTAGCAAACTTCACGTCAATGCCGGGAGTTTATTGAAGTATCATGAATAGCCTTTTGTAGTATCATGAACTTATATAGTATCAATAAAAAACTTTTATTAAAATTATAACATAGTATAAACATTTGACGATCCGTCCTGACGGAGAAATAAATAAAAAATAATCTCCAGGTCTCTAGAGATGACGGTCGCTTGTCAAGAATGCAGCTGGTCGCTTAAAAATGGGAATATTTACACGTAACTAATTCATACTAAGAAAACTGGCAATTAATGGAAGGGACTGCTTAATCGAAGACGGCGTTTGAGTATATTGCGCTGAATGTGTTTTTTCCTCAGCTTTTTAAACTTCCATAACATAGTCTCTAGAAGGTTCCTTTTTACTGCAAAGACAATGTATAAGCTTTATGATTTGATAATAATTCCATTTCAAAATTTTCTTCTAATCATGAGTAGTTTTGTAATATTCAGTCAATCAATAATTCTTCAACTATTTGGTTTAGAAAACTAGAATACGGCAAAGTGTCTCGCCACTACAAACGTTTTCTAGTCTGTCCGAACATTGCACATTATGGAGGTTGTTTTCGGATTTCGGGCAAAAAAGATTTTCTCTTTGTATGTAATTTTTAGCAAAGAGAAATTTTAAACTCATTTCTCTTCAAAGCATATACTCATTTCACAACGTTTTGGAATGCTCACATTGCAAAAACGTCGACGCCTCGTAGTTTCTTTCCCACGTGGGTGTGACACTTGGCTGGGTCCACCGTCGCAGTCGCTTTGAGGGAAGTGAGGTTTACGGCTGCTAACGCCACAGTTTCCAGGTCTTGGGGAGTGCACGTTGACGGAGTACACCAGGCTAATTGTATCGGGATGTAGGAAAGCAGGCTAGCGAGTGCGCCCTATGCAACAAATAAACGAAGTAATTAGAGCACAAAGAAGAAATGCCAATTAGGTTATGTTTTATTAAATTTTGATAACTTTGTGACAGATTGTAATAGGCCAAAGTACTGTACGCAGGAATGATATATTTATTATCAGAAAAATATTTTAGAGAATCAAAAGTAAGTCGAATATTGTCGAGATATGTATTGCCACTTTTGTTCTTCAAGAAGTAATCATTCTAAATAGAACTTGGTGGGAAAGATCTATCTTTAAGAAATTTAAGAGTTTAGTATGGTTAAGATGTCAATGACAGCGTATGTTTTAATACAACTTATAATAATTGTACTTGCCCTACAATACATCACATACAATTTTTATCTGTTTTTAAATTTAAATAAAATAATAAACTCTAGCGTACCTGTGCGAGAACTCTGGCATGCTCAACCCCATCACAACTTTTCCTAAGGGTATCGTGAAATTGGAACCTTTGGTTCTTTTATATCGTTATTCCCTCCACAATTAGGTATGCAGCACTTGTAGACCACGGCAAAACGATAAATGAATGGTTGCATTACAGACATAAGAAATAATCTTCATCGGTATCAAGCAACTATTAATAGTACTTCTGGTTGTTGCTACGAGAGGGAATCTTTCATTAATAATTATTCAATTAAACCTCGTCAGTCTACGCATACCACTGTGTACACAAAGAGCGCAAATACTATAAGATAAATGAACCTAAGCCTTCCAAATGTTACGTCACAAAGATTGCCACCATTCACCAGGGGTTGAAATATAGGCGACATTGATGCTAATAAATTATGAATCGTTGCAGGTAAATGCCGAACCGGCAAAAAATTAATAGAATGTCCAAGAATATGTAGTCCTGTAGATTACGGGGTAAAAATGCCCTAGAATGCTTCGTTTAGAAGTAAGATGTAGTTGACCGAGTGTTGCATTTGACATGAATATTTAGATGGTTTTTTTTAAAACAAATCCTTCATATTTTTAAAGTAAAAGTGCAATTCATCATGTCTCCGTGACATTCTCTTTGATTAGAGACCTTATTTATAAATATCAGTTGCCTGCGAGAGCCGCAAAGGGTGTGTATACTACTGAAATAATACAGGAGACGACCGTACGACCGATCAAACGATTTGTCCGTTGAAGTCTGCATTATATGGTAGGCCTTACACTCTCCGGGATGTCCCGCGCTTCATCGACGCGATGCGTCCTGCCGTGGAGCATGAGGCTGGATTGCACCGCATGCAGCAGCCTCTGCCATTCGTCGAAATCCTCCTGGGCACCCAGCTCCTCCAACTCCTCCCCGCCGCCGCCGCCGAGCTTCGCCGAGAAGGCGACAAGGCAGTGCTGGCCGTCGAAGCCCGGCGACCCATCGCCCTCGCCTTGCCGCACGGAGAGGCACTCGTCGAAGTTGCCCAGGTGCACCAAATGGCCGCCCAGCAGGCCGTCGGGGATTTTCGTGGACGCGTCGAACACTGCGGACAAAGGGACTAATTTGAAACGCGTCATGAAGTTCATTATTCTTATCGGCAGTCATTGCCACATCAACAGTAATTAAAGTTTCAATTTCTGCTTTATCGCCTTTCCACGTATTTACGTAGTGAAGAGAATGTATTGTAATGCAACAGCGTGTAGTGGGGATTCTTCGTCAGAGAAATTCGTATTGGCAAGGAGGGATACCTAAAGTGGATAAACATTGTTCCTAAATGTAGTAAATTACGTCCTCTAACACTTTTTGTAGTCAAAATCTTCATTTTATGGGTCTTTGATAACGAAAAACTGGTTAACGGCAAAACTTCTGTGGTCAACCGTAGCGCTTAAACTGTTCGGAGCATTTTCTCCAAAACTGACATTCCTGAACAATCTAGCCGAACTGAAGGCTCCCCTAATTTCAAATGAATGTTTTAACTTTCTAGGGTATTTTACATGTAATATTTATTATTCTCAAAATTTTCTGAAAAATTAATTTTATTCGCGGATAGACCAAAAACACTTTAAAATGGTGCAGGTCTTATTCTTGTTCAACGGTGAATATTCAAAAATTCCGAAAGTTCAATATTTTTGGTGTTTTCCTACAACTAAAACGTTGAAGATACAGATTTGTTTAATCGAATTTGATCTTCAAAGACAGATTTTCGAATAAGATCATGTTCATTTTTTTCATAAATATGGACAGTTTTTGCAAAATTTTGCGTATAATGTAATCAATTTAATTTTCTCATAAAACAGCTTCAATTTTTTCCCGAACAGAGCAACGTACGCTTATAAATATGGCGTAGGTTTCATTCTGTATTGCAAATTGCGAAAAATTAACATTAAAACAGTACTGTATTGATGATACAGCTACTGTTGCAGAATGAAATTTGCTCTAAAACAATATATTATTGAAGAAGGTCATGTACAAATTTTGGAAAAAAAAGCGTTTTTGCGAAATCGTGTTTGAAGTAAAGACAATTCTCAACTCCAACTTTTTTCTTTGTTTCCTCGGATAGAACAAACGTCGCTATAAAATACAACTTAGTTCTAATTTTTATTAATCTTACTGAATTTTCAAAAATTCATTGCTTTTCGTTTATGTTAAATTGATATTTTTCGAACTTTGCTGAAGGAACATCTACATTTTTCCATATTTTATTTTTTGGGCCTCCACATTTCTTCATCGAATCAGGCTTTGAGAATATGGTAGATAATTGAACTTGTTTCGATTTTTTTAGATAAAAATCGCATTTCTTTTTGAGAAAATTTGATTGCAGCATTTTGGAAAAATTGCCATTTTTAGTTCTCTTCTGCTAAAACACTAATAAATTAAAAAAAATCATTAGAGGCTCGTTGAAACTTCTGTGTTAAGGAATATTCAACCAATGAAATTCATCTACAACATAAAATTTAACGAGGTGATACATGCGTAAAAAATCAAATTAGGGTACCTACCTTTTGAAAAATGAAAATAATAATCCGAATAATACAAAAAATATTCAGAATGGTCTTTACAGTTTCTGTTTCAGTGCACTAGCGGTAGAAAAAAATATTAAAGAAAAATTTGGAGCCGTTTTTGAAAAAAAATTAAAATTGCCTATATTTCATGCTAAATAACGTCAAAATTCTTAGATTTTTAGAAAATTGATCATTCCTTAAATAAAGATCCATCGTTGAAAACAGATTTCGTTCAGGAAAAAAATCTTCCTTCAATATTGTAGTCAATATTGTAGTCAATATTGTATCGAAGTCATCGAAAAAAACCTGTTGCTTTACAATTTTTGAAAATTCAGAGACTTGCGTAATTTTATAAGTATTTTATCTATCCGATAAGAAAGTTAAACAAAAAAATTGGAATCTTTTTTTCTTTCTTTTTTGTTTTTGAGAAATGTTTTAAAACGTTGTTGGGTCTTCATATAATGTACCCCTGAAAATCAAACTATCCCTTTCAAATTGAATAGGCCGTGACATCAGCGAAACCGATTGGGAAATATCTATTTTGGTGAAAATACTACGAACGATTAGACTCTACCTGTGTTCACAGACAGAGGAACTGAGGAACGGACAGACGTTTTGCTCTAAAGACAAGCAGTGCAGATCAAGTTTGTTTCATCATTATTAATGGTAGCAGATGTCTTACCAAGTTCGCACAATGAAATGTTTCGTAACTTTGTTTAGTGTCAAGTGTAGCAAGGGTCAAATGTTCAGTGTTACCTCCTAATAGATACCAACTTCATGTACTCAGGTGAGTGAACACTGCTTCCAGACCCGTGAACTTTTTAGGTAAAGAGGTTCATGTAAGTGTAGTGATTGGTGCAACCTGGGAGATGGTGTTCCTTTCCTGCCAAATCTAAAGATCCGGCACGTCCTATATACCAGCTTTCTAGGCAAGTGCCACTGCATGGCACCGCCTCAACCAGAACAAGCTCGAAACTCCCGACTGGTCTTCTGACATGTAAATACTGCAAAACGCATGGGTGCAATGTAAGAGAGAAACGAGGGAACAGTTGCGAGGAAGATTGCGCCGCTGTTGCGTTAGCGATCCGCTACTCTGATCAATAGTTTTCCGTCAACACCAGATGAAAACCGGAGTAGTACCTTAACAAAGGCGCCACGTACTGCACGCGAACTTTCCTTCCCCTTCCTTTCCTATCCTCACCCCTTACTTACACACACTCAGATGCACTACACTATCACACTTGTCTGGAGACCAGACGGGAGCTTTGAAATTGAACCGGCTGGATCAGTTCTCCGCTGGGGCAGATACCTAGATGAGGAAAACCCCACATGTCGGCGTAGGACGGTGCAGGTTCTCTCCATCCAGCGGGGTGATCACCACCACCGTACACGTTGAAAGCATGTACTACACTTACGGGACAAGTGACATCCTTTTACCTGCCCGAAATCACTAATCAATCAATAATTCAATCAATCTCCAGTTTGTTAGGGCAGTACTCCGGCACTTGGTGAGAAACTTTGGAAAACTTTTCACTAGAGAATTCGAAGCATTGGTGATGTCTAGAATTCTCGTCCAGACACTGCTAGAATTTTTAGCTAGTATGTAGCGAAAATTCGCCAACGTCCTGGCTTGAAACCTAGAGATCCTCCCACTGAACGATTCTGCGGAAGCAATGTCACCGTTGAACTATCGCAGACGGTAATTGGTCTTCGATAATCGAAGCACATTCTATTCACTAATGAGACAATAACGGTGCGATTAGGTTTTACTTACTCTTGATGGCCCACGCGCTGCCGTTCCCGAAGGAGTACGCCATCTGCAGGAGGTCACGGGTGCAGTTCTCGGAGAGACCCATCTCGCCCCAGGCCGGCAGGAGGCTGAGCGAAGCCAGGCCGGCAGCGTGCCAGGGCAGCGGGGCCTGGGGGTCCATCAGCGCCGCCGCCACCCTCGCCGCCTCCGCCTCCGGCCCCGCCCCCGCCGCGGAGGCTGTCCCCGCCAGCCGCAACACCGCCACCGCCAACACAGCCACTGCCACGGCCATCGCGGATGTCACTGTAAGATATCAGACGCAGCAGACTATTGATACCGGAGACGTGAGATAACGCTCCCCTTGCTGATGTGACATACAGCTGGAAACTTGATAACACTGAATAATATTTCCCGTTCTTCCCTGAGAAAAGATAACACGAGAATGAACTGTGACTTGTGATGTTTTGGAAAATGAGAAACGATCGATGGGAACATGCTAAAATAATTCTGCTGCTGCAGTGATCGGGCCTAAGTTGGTGTACTTTTTTTTCGTAGTAGTACTCTTAATATTTAAGTTTGTCAATTTGTTTTGTGTGTTATTCTGATGAATACTTTGAACCATTGTGTTACGTTGCTCCAGCGTTCTGGGGAAATTCTACCAGTCAATTTAATCCCTTCATTACACCCATAAGCCCATATTATGCCTTACTTTTCTTATTCCCTTCCACAATCAAATTGTTTGAATCAGGGTGTTAAGGATACAGGTTCAAGGTGATAGGAATAATCATCATGTCCCGACACACAACGCCTATGTCCGACGGAGGGTTCGAACCGGCAGCCGGGAAGAAACGCGCAAATGCCTCAAGTGCCTGCTCTGCACAGTCAGAAATAGAAAGAAGAGTGCAGAAAGCTGATACATGATTGGAAGAGCGCTACCATGCCACAACATACATGCAAACTGTTATGTATCAGAACAAATGAGACTATGTAGGTAGGAGACGAAGATTTATTTAACACAATATGAAAATACATGAGGGGCGCAATGCAAAACCTAATAAAATAGGAGGAAAAAAAACACAAAATTGAACCCGCCGGTGATAAGGTCGTAATAGCGCGTGCAAAAAACGGCCAGTAGGCGCGGAGGATAGCACCCTGGTTCGGGGGAGAGTTTGTCCGCAACCAAAGTTCCGTAGAAAAGTCCCTACAGTACCGGCAGCCTGTAAGCGACTCTGACAGTTCAATTCGCTGTTGCCACGCATTACTGCGCACTTGACCCACATCTCCATCACAGATAAATTAAATCTCAAGTCATTAATGTCAGGCTATGACAGATCTTCATATTATGTTCAAATGTTCGCCAAAGCCGAACTTGATCGTTTCTGTGTCTTCGTGCAAGTCAGATGAGCGGTAACACCGAACCCTGGCTGTGAGAAAGTAAACAAATCCTCGTAAGTTGATTGCTCCAGAGCATGACATGACGTACCACAGCACGTGGTGAGAGAACTGTATGGGTTGCTTGTACGCTACCGTTACTAAAGCCTCGTAGGGTCGAACCCCATGGTCCAGATCATAAGCCGCGAGAGAAATCCGCGATTGTGTCAGGTACACTATCGTGGTAACTGTTCGTAGCCAAAGCGTAGGAACAAAAACTCTGACAAGGGTCACGAGTGCAAATTCTACACTTGAATTTTATAATGCACTTGAATTCTAATCAGCGCTGCTACAGTGTCAGCCAATCGGAATCTTGAACGTCACATATTGACGTTGCTAAGTGACGTTGACACTCCGATTGGATGACACTGTTGTCAGCTGCATTACGTTAAGTCGACTACAAATAAATCGAAGTGTAGCTTCTACTAACATGAATCGCTCGCACTGTAAAACCATCTCTTGGTGCTCGCTCCTGCTCCGCTAGCCGATTTTATAAAGGACGGAAGGCAATGAGGAGCCATCCAGGTAATCTGTTTTGTTAGGCAGCAGGCGCCACATACACACTGAGCATTTTTTTGCGTTTAACCCAAATGCTTGTGTTCGCAGTTTGTCTGGCACGTGCACAGCAAACTTTCATACCCGAGGCGGGATTCCAACACGCGACCCTGTTACGCACGACTCAGCTACTCAAAATAGAGAACTATTACTTCATAGTTAATCAAATTGTTATATTAGGTAACGATTTACGCAAAAAATAAATTAAAAGTGCGTTAAAGAGTTTCTGAGAGCTTGTTATGTGGAAATGTGAATAACTATCCAAAGTACTCGACTAAATTCTGTAAATAATGGCATGGTGTATTTTTGTGTTATTGAATTGGAGTTTTGTGTTCTGGATTGTTTAGTTTTCAGTCAACTGGTCTGCATTTCATTCTGCTACGTGTTTCGTCTAAAACAGTTGCCCAAATAGGCATTATAGTGTACTGAATAATTATAGACACATAGGCGGCATATATTACATTATAAGAACAAACTCATGTGGATGGCAAAGAAGGAAAGAACTTCCATGTCAGGAGAGGAGTCTCAAGTATATGTCAATACGAAGGGTCTTGTTATTAAGTATGTTATGACTGCTCCAATTCATATTCACTAAAACATATTCTTCTTTTCCTTCAAATGTAGAAGCGTTGTTTGTTACAATTCCGTTTCTATATGGTCATCGCTTTCTAAAGTGACAAGAATTTCATCGACCTTGTGGATGATATTGTAAAATTATCGAGGGCAGACGGTTGTCATGCATCCTTCAAATGTAATGGGTTCAGAAATTTCGGATGTCGTTAATTTTCTCTGGATTACATACAAACATTCCTTGCAAGAGTTTTGTATATCTATTTTTGTTTGTAAGGCTATAGCCATATATTACTCGAGGATATCTATTTCAGCACTATGTAGTTACGTCTTATTTTTACTTTCTCTCTGACGCTTCCGCAGACGAGAAAAAATTATGCAATGCTGCGCAAAAAAAGGAACATTTTTGGCAGAAAAACTCTTATTAGAGAACCCTAGTTACAAAAAATGGATAAATCCTAATATTAAAGTAAGAAAAAGATCCTCTAACTCGTGGTGTAACCAGAATCCATCTATTCTGCGTCCTTGATACCGAAAACTCAAATAACAGCAAAACATCTGATATTAATTCCGTCTATGTATCCGTCATCCGTCAATATATCCGTACTTAAGGCCGTCTATCTGTCCGTCAGGCCGTCTATCTGTCCGTCAAGCGTCTGTCCGTCAGGCCGTCTATCGGTCCGTCAGGCCGTCTATCGCACCGTAAGGCCGTCTATCGCACCGTAAGGCCGTCTATCGCACCGTAAGGCCGTCTATCGCACCTTAAGGCCTTCTATCGCACCTTAAGGCCTTCTATCGGTCCGTCGGGCCGTCTATCGGTCCGTCGGGCCGTCTATCGGTCCGTCGGGTCGTCTATCGTTCCTTCGGGGCGTCTATCGTTCCGTCGGGGCGTCTATCGTTCCGTCGGGCGTCTATCGTTCCGTCGGGCCGTCTATCGGTCCGTCTATCGGTCCGTCGGGCCTTCTATCGGTCCGTCGGGCCGTCTATCGGTCCATCGGGCCGTCTATCGGTCCGTCGGGCCGTCTATCGGTCCGTCGGGCCGTCTATCGGTCCGTCGGGCCGTCTATCGGTCCGTCAGGCCGTGTATCGGTCCGTCAGGCCGTCTATCGGTCCGTCAGGCCGTCTATCGGTCCGTCAGGCCGTCTATCGGTCCGTCAGGCCGTCTATCGATCCGTCAGGCCGTCCGTCATTTTATCAGGTCTTCCGCGTCTTCTTTTTCTGTCAGGCGTTTATCGGTTGGTAGTACATCTGTCTGGCCGTCAATATGTCTGTTGTTCGTCTATATATCGGATTATCCGTCTATATGTCTGTCCGTCTGTGGTTTGAACCCCGCCAGCGTGTAAACCGTTTAGCGGATTTTCTCCAAAATTGACATTCTTTAATTGATGTGGTTTTTGTAACGGTCCTTTGAACTTGAAACCGATATTTTAATTTTTGGCAGTACTTTTCATGTACTTTTTGGGACATATTCCAAATTTTAAAAATTGGCAATTTTGTTGAGTCTTTAGATGAGTATGAATGTTTTTGTTTTGAGTAGTGTGTTGTTTGATGGAATAGAACATGTCTTTTTTTGTTGAAAACCCTGATTTTCTGAAATTTTTTCACACAATGTTTCGGAGTCTGTCAAAAACTAAAATACTCAAGATAGATATTTTTCCTTAATGGAAAAATCCTCTTTAAGTTAGATTTTGAAATAAGGTCATAAACAAATTTTCGAAAAATTGAATATTTTTCGTACTATTTTGTATGACGGGGAGAAATTATATGCTTTTTAGGACTATTAATTTTACTTTTCCTCTACATACTCTAGAGAGGAAATACCTTAATAATATGATCTGAATTTTCAGTCATATATATGTCAGGACTAAGATCTAGTTTTGTCATTCCGGATATCATTAAGGGTTTTTTTTGACACCTTATATGAAGTCCTTTGATTATTTCAAAAATTTCTGAAAAATGGCTTCATTTTTTTGTGAGAAAAGTGTTTAAAAAATCTTTAATTTTCGATATTTATTAAGACGTATTAAATTTTGAAAATTGCAAAGTCCAAATTTTGGAAAGTGTCCTATATCTCCAAGATAGGATTTTTTTTTATTTCAATTTACCCCTCCATTTCAGATCGTTAAACTGTGTAATACATTTTTTAATGAGTAGTTTTTATATATACAACGGAATGTCTCAAAATAAATGTGATATTTCTAGGACATGTAGAAGGGTAAACAATTATTACTTTTTTTTGTAAACATGTGGAGGGAAATTTCACTAAACAGAGTTATGCGGCACCTGCTTGTTTTTTCAGACAACCCGTACGTATGGATATTGCAAACACACATGAAATCTCCTTGTCAGCATGTGACCAGCAGAGCATCTGCGCATAAGGAGTTGCCTAGAAAGCAGAGGCAAATGCAACATGTACGAGGGACGTTCAATAAGTTATCTACTTCGATATCTTACGGTATTATTAGTATGCACTGCACTCTTTAATTGTTCACCCCTCTACAAGTATCACATTTATTCTGAGACATTCGGTGCTGTATACAAAAACTACTCATAAAAAAATTATACATAGTTTAACGATCTGAAATGGAGGGATAAATTAAATTCAAAATATATAGTGTTTAATGTTAGAGATTTAGAACACTTTCGAAAATAAATTTGAACTTTTCAATTGTTAAAATATAATAGGTTTTAAGTAATATAGGAACTAAAATATTTTTATAAACACTTTTCTCATACAACATTGCAGC